TTTTAAGCATAGTTAACCTTCTGGGGTTGGTGGTTTACTTTTAATACCTTCTGTATTTCAGGCTATTAATACTATTCTTGGCTGCCTTTCAGAACTTGATGGTAAAACTCTATTTGGTGAAGACATCGTGTAGTTGAATCATGGAATATGGAGAAATCAAGCTGGTACTCACCTGGGAGCTTCCTCCTTACTGCCTCGCTTCCACAACGCTATGAACACCAAAAAAGCAGAAAATAAATCATCAGTCTCACCCAGCTGCGAACCGAGAAGACTACAATGACTGACCTGGGAAGACAGGTTCACTTGCAATGTTTGTCAGGAATTGGAAAGGCTGGAGCCTTCTTCCTTCTTTTCCCTCTGTTGTAACAGTCTTGCTTTGCTTCCCTCGGGGGCATGCTCTCCTAGGACCTAGGAGCCTCGCTGCTTAAACTCACAGAGACTCAAGCAAGCCGTGATTGGCTAGGTGATCAACATGACAGTATAGAATAAGGACCAGTCAAAAGAGAGCTAGCTCTCAAACCTCAGCAGGTAAGGGGGAAAAAGCCTCCAAACCTGAGAGTTCTCCTAAAGACCACTGCCCCTCCCTTCTCCTCCAGGCACGTTGGAGTAGAAGTGGGGAAAGTAAGGGAAAGGCCAGGAAACGTGTGAGTTCCTGTGAGTCCATCACTTTGATTACCAGCAGACAACTCTCTTTTCCCTTGCAGCTGCACTCACTAAAACATTGAACTGAACCTCCTGTCTCTACCTCCTGCTATGAGCTGCTATGCCTGCCTTGCTCCTGGCCTTTCTTTTGGCCTTTGCTGCTGTCAGTATTCTTTTGTATTCATTGGAAGATAGACACAACATTCTAGTTTTTCGATTTTCATGTGACATTCTGCCCACCTACCTAGCTCTGTGTCTCTATAGGAAGAGCCCAGGCCCTTGCTCAGATCCCTACCCTGGCCATTCCCAGCCATGACAGGCTGCAGGAAAAAACCCAGCAGGATGTACGCTCCTGACTCAGCGGGATTTATACAGCAGGATGTGTGGTGCCCCAACTCTGCCCTAGTTGTTGAGGGTCAACTATAAGATATCTTCCATATAACAAGGAACCAATTAGAACCTAGCTGGTGGGCTCTGAATGTGCCTTACTGATAAGGGACGAATGCAGTAACCATAATAACGACTCCCAGACTGGCCTTCCACAGCTGCAGCTGGCCAGTTGACTTCGGACAGGTATGGCCAGTCCAGAAGTGTGCCAATCCTGAGACTCTCACTATGTATGTAGTTTGCAGACCTCCAGATTCCTTCTTGCCCAGCCCCAATACATGGTCTGTTCTCCCGTTGCCAGGGGTCTCTCCTACGCTGCCCGCTATGTCAAATGGACAGGAGGCCCCGGTTCAAACTCAGAAATTAAAGACTTTGTTTTTGCATCAGATCTGGTCTCTTGGTGGGTTTTAGGGGTCCAGATTCTGGGGCACAACATATACTCTTGAAGGAGCAATCACATTGAATACGGGACCTTTTAAATCAAATATGCACTCAATTGCTTACATCTGCAAAGATCTAGTCTCCAAACAAAGCTACATTTATGGGTACAATATCTTTTTTGGGTAAAATCATTCAAACCATAACAGGAGGCTTTGCTACTGGCCTCTCCATTTCTTTTTTATGAAAGGAAGGCATCTTATCTTCATTATTCAGAAGCATTTGAGAAAGGTTCTGTTGATGATCTCCATTAATTATTTTCTGTTTTCAGTTTCATTTATTTCTACTCTAAATTATTTTTGCTGTGGTTTCATTTTGTTTGTTTGTTGTCTTTGTTTGTTTTACTTTTTGTACTGACTTTGGATTTCAGTTGTTCTTCATTTTCTAGTCTCCTGTAGTAAAACTTTGCACTGTTGATTCTAGGTCTTTTATCTTTTCTAATGATGCATCCCATGCCATAATTTTCCCTGCATGCACTGCTTTCGTGCAGAAACTTTGAGAAATTATCTCTTCACTTGGCTCAATTATATTTCAACTCTCTCTTCACATTTCTTTAGCATGGATGTATTGGGAAGCACCGTTGAGAGCTAGAGAGATCACTTGGCAGTTATGAGCTTTGGCTGCTCCTCTAGAGTAACAGGATTCAGTCCCCAGCATCCATACCAGGCAGCTCTCACAACTGTAACTACAGCTCCAGTTTAATATGCTACCATGTGGGGCTCTTTCAGTTATCTTTCTCTTAGTAGCTTCTAGCTTACACTTGTTTGCCTGTGATGGCAGAGTTCACATTATACTACTTCTCTTTCTTTAATTTATGAAGATGTGTTTATAGATGAGAATATGAATTATCTCCATGCTTACCCATATGAACTTGAACAACATGCATGCTCTCACATTGTGTCAGGGATTAGCCTCAACAGAAACACCTCTTGCCAGGATAGGGGAGTAGGGATTTAGAAATATAGTGAAGACTACAAAAATGTGAAAATAATAAGACAGAAAAATAGGATAGTATCGGGAGGAAGTTCTAGTCAATACTGAAAGCCACCCATGTTTAATTTCCAATAGCTTAAAATACTTCTGACCACAAAAGATAGGAGTAAGATTTTAAAAAAAAACTGCATTAACACGTTACAAGGAAATGAACAACCAGTTGAAGGTCGTGATCTACGCCTGCAGTAGATAAACATTCTGTTGCTAGTACAAAACAAGTCACATTCACACCCTAGACCAAAACATTCTGTAGGTAAACTGCTCCCTGGGTGAAATTCATTGTTATCTCCTTAAGGGAAGTGGAACTTAGTTGGATCCTTAGACTTTTGTTTGATTTAGAAACGTGTCTACTTCTCTATTTCTGAACAAGGGCTGGCTGTTAGCCACACCTGCTGACAATAACCTTGAGAAAGCAGAACTCTCTGTTCTGAATCTAGGTGGGACCTTTGTTTGAGGTAGAAACACAATAACCTTGGAGGAATAGAGGTAAGTTCCAACTCTCTGACCTTTGGTCAACTTAGAAACTGGCTCACATTTTTGGGCCCCCACAACATTCTTCAGTCAAGTAGTGTATAGCAATCAGTGTGGTACAGTTAATTGATAGTGTTGTTGAATTCAGCTATGTCCTAACTAATAGAATTGTTGGGCCCTAAAGCCCCACCAAGGAGGAGGTCGCCCCAAGAGACACTCACAGCACGGTTGATGCAATAGCAAGAGGAATTTTTATTCTGCCACGGCAGAGGTCCCTCAGCCTCGAGAGGAGAAGGACCCTGCTTTGTCTATTACAAGCTCTTTTAAAGGAAAAAAAACACAAATTCAGGGAGGGGGTAGTACAGAATCAAAGGGAAAGTCCAAAAATCATTTGTCAACTGTTTTGACTAGTTCATACAATGGTCAGCTAACTCTACTTGATCAATGTTATGGCGGTTACAAGGAGGAACACCTGCAGGTCGTCTCACCCCAGTTCCAGGGTCCGGGTCTATTGGAGAAAGACTACAATGGGGATGGAAAGTACTCAAAGCTCCCGTGCACGCGTGGCTGGTTACTAGGGACCTGGTTCCCAGGAAGGGGGGTGCAGTAGTGCTAAGGTGCCTCCTAATGCTAGAGGCCTGGTTCCCAGGATGGGGGGTGCAGTAGTGCTAAGGTGTCTCAAAGTCTTTCATTTCCCCCCTTTGATTTGGTCGAATCTCAATCTTGAGATTCTCAGGGATTATCCCTAAGGGCATGATATTGCTGGGTCAACACCAAAGCTTGAGTAATGCTAAGTCGCTCACGAATGAACATCAGGAGTCGATTGAGGATGCAGGGCCCAAAGGTTAGGATGAGTAATAGAATGATCAAGGGACCAGTGATGGTGGAAATGAGTGTCGTGAACCAGGGGGAGCGGTTAAACCAGCCTTCAAACCAATTTTGATGTGCCTCTCTCTCTCTCTGTCTCTTGTCTAACCTCTCTCTGAGCTTAGCCATCGAATCTTTAATTACCCCAGAGTGGTCTACGTAGAAACAACATTGTTCCTTTAGGGCAGCACAGAGTCCTCCTTCTTGAAGAAATAGCAAGTCTAACCCGCGCCTATTTTGTAACACTACCTCGGAAAGAGAGATTATTGAATCTGCAAGCTTGGTGATAGATTGTTCTAGGGCCCTTAAGTCCTGGTCAATAGCTGCTCTTAATTCCTCAAAATGTTGGGGAATTTTGGAACTCTGCACTAGAGCAGTAGTACCGGTGCCAACACCAGCTGCCACCCCAAGGCCCAAGATCACTGCTAGAGTCATAGAGATGGGCTCTCGCCGATAACGGCTCGAGTGCCTGTCAAATTCATCCTCAAATGTGTTAGCAGGATAATAAATGACCCTTGGAACTAGTCGAACAAGCACACAGTAATCTTTGGTACCATCAAAAACTGATGTTGCCACGCAAGGCGTCAGGCCTGTACTACAAGCCCACCATTTATCTGAATCGGGGATCAGGTATCCAGTTTTAGCAGTTTTAGGGCTCTTAAGGGTCTCATTACATAAATGTTTGTAAGCAGCCGGTGGATTTCCCAAGCATGTCCCTGCACCAGTAACCTCTGTAAGAGTTAGTCTATGACTAACTCCCCAAGCGCAGCCCTCCTGGCTAGTTGTGTTATTGAAACCCCCAGATATTGCAATCCCTTCATAGTATGGGGGTCCTGCTGATAGGCATAGCCAGCAAGATTCTGTCATATTGGGGTCAGTACTATTCAGCAAAGAAAAAGCTCCCACTATTAGATTAAACAATCGCTGGCCTGTATTAGAGAGTGCCAGCGGTGAAGCAGGGGTAGCAGGAAGATTTTTAGGACTTGAAGGGGGACCCAAGGCCCTGGCAAGGGGGGGGGACCTCAGCCAGGGCTAGCTGTCCCTGGTCAGGCAATACCGGGTTGGGCCCTAGTGCCATGGTCATGGGAGGTGTTATAACAATTCTTAGGGTGAACAGAATTCCTATGTCTTCCCCTCCTGGATTATACAACCGTAAACCCCATATATTGCCTGTTAACCAACTAACCTTTTTTCCCTTCTCCGTGAAGGTGATTGTGATTTCAGATTCCCCTGATGTGGTACGAGTGAAAGTGACTAAGTCTTCTTTGCTAGCCCCCAACCAGGAGGTACTGACACTGGTTTCACATCCCCAGGCAGCACAATAAAATACTTCAGCCCCCCCACATTGCCAAGTTCGTCTTCCCCCAGGACAAATATACCATTCAGAATATCTGCATGTAGGATAAGAGTTCTCGGGAGTTCGTTCAGTATCTCCCCAAGAGTCTTTTGCTAGGGCACATAGGTCAAACTTTAGCTGGGGGAACCAGGTACCTAGGGGATGAACTCCAGTGGCTAGCCTCAAGACTTGCCCAGTCTCAAAGTTAGTCAGAGTCCAAGTTAAGTTCTGAGGTGTATGGGGGTTCTTAGCACTATATGTGGAGGGAAACACCAGGGCAAAGAACAGCAAGCTTGACAGGATCAGGCTTCCTTGACTAGTCTCAGTTTTAGAGGATTTTGGGTACGCTGAAGCTTCCATTTGGAAAGTTCTGGGTCGTCCTGTGGAGGTGCCGGCTTGACGTGAGACGCGTGGATCCAGGCTGCAATACCGTCCACTTTGAGGGCAGTAGGTGTCGTAAGAAGCACGGTGTAGGGTCCCTTCCAGCGAGGTTCAAGGTTCTGGGACCGATGTCTCCGCACGTACACAGAATCGCCAACCTGGAACGGGTGCGAGATCTCCGGATGCCCAGGCTGGTAGGCAGCAGCTAGGGGTCTCCACACTTGGGCCTGGACGATCTGAAGTGCTTTTAGCCGCGCCTGCAAATCAGGTTTGTGAGTAGCGGGGTCAGGAGGGGCCCTAAAGGAGGCCAATGGGGGAGGCCCCCCATATAGGATCTCATAGGGAGTAAGTCCAAGCCGAGAAGGGGTGTTCCGCACCCGGAACAGGGCTAGGGGAAGGAGCTGTACCCAGTCTCTAACGCCAGATTCCAAAGCTAATTTGGATAAAGTCTCCTTTATGGTTCTATTCATCCTTTCTACCTGTCCTGAACTCTGGGGTCTGTATGCACAATGTAATTTCCAATTAATCCCCAGTGTCTTGGCCATACCCTGACTTACCTGGGAGACAAAGGCTGGGCCGTTGTCAGACCCGATTACCTTAGGCAGGCCAAACCGAGGAAAAATATCTTCTAGTATCTTCTTCACCACCATTTGAGCCGTTTCTCGTTTGGTGGGGAAAGCTTCAGTCCAACCGGAGAAGGTGTCTATAAAAACTAGGAGATATTTATTACCATATTTTCCTGGCCTTATTTCAGTAAAATCCACTTCCCAATGAGTACCAGGTCGGTCTCCCCTTATTCTTATGCCCTCTGGGGCACTTTGCCGTTTTGCGTTTACCTTGGCACAGGGGACACAAGTTGATGTCACTTGCTGTATGAGTGAGTTAAGACCTGGAATATAAAAATCTGTCTTTTTTATAAGAGATTTAATCTTTTTATGTCCTAAATGAGTCCATCGATGCATTTGAGTGACCAGTTCAAAAGCATCTTTCTTGGGCAACATGGTTTTGCCCTGATATTTCCAAGCTTTTTGTTGTTCATCAAAGTCTGCATTAAGTTTCTGAATAGTCTCTAGATCCTGGGTTGAATATTGGAAATGATCTTCTGTGGAGGGTGGTGCCTCTGCCAAGGATAATATTTCTGAGTTAAGCGCAGCCTTTTTAGCCATCTCATCTGCCATCTGATTTCCTTTGGCAATAGGATCATTGCCCTTCTGATGTCCTGGGCAATGAATAATGCTCACCTTCTTGGGTAAGAAGAGGGCCTTTAATAGTCCCAGGATTTCAGTCTTATTTTTAATTTCTTTTCCAGCAGAAGTTAGCAGTCCTCTTCTTTTATAAATTTCCCCATGGACATGGGCCGTTGCAAATGCATAACGGCTGTCTGTATATATGTTTACTTTTTGTCCCTTTGCTAGTTCTAAAGCCTTAGTCAGGGCTATTAATTCTGCCTTCTGGGCAGAGGTTCCTGGGGGCAATGCCTGTGCCCATATGGTATTTTGTCCATCCACCACCGCCGCCCCCGCCTTTCGCTCACCTTCTTTAAAGAAGCTGCTGCCGTCTGTGAACCAGGTATAATCTGCATCAGGGAGCCGGCAATCAGTCAAATCCTCCCTGGTCCCGTGGTATTCTGCCAATATCTGATGACAGTCATGAGGTACCCAAACAGTGGGTTCCGAATTGGGGAGCAAGGTAGCGGGGTTCAGTAACGTCGCATTTCCAAATGTGATACGTTCAGGGTTGAGCAATAACGACTGGTAGTGGGTTATACGGGCATTCGAGAGCCATCTATCAGGGGGTTGACGAATTATAGTCTCTAAAGCATGAGGTGCTATTATAGTCAGCGGTTGGCCCAGAGTCAATTTGTCTGCATCTTTGACCAGGGTAGCTACAGCTGCTACCATACGGAGGCAAGGGGGCCATCCTGTCACCACATTGTCCATCTTTTTGGAGATGTAAGCCACTGGTTTTTTCCAGGGTCCCAGTTTCTGAGTCAGCACCCCTTTTGCTACTCCCTTGTTCTCATCTACGTATAAGGTGAATGGTTTGGTGACATCAGGGAGACTCAAAGCAGGGGCCGAAAGGAGGGCCCTTTTTATTTTATCAAAAGCCCGTTGTTGGTCCTCTCCCCAGAAGAAAGGGACGTTGGCTTTGGTAAGCGGATACAGTGGGGCGGCCATTTCAGCGAAACCCGGTATCCATAACCTACAGAAACCGGCAGTTCCCAGAAACTCTCGGACCTCTCGCGCCCCTTTGGGAGGGGGAATTTGTGCCACGGCCTGCTTCCGACTGTCTGTTAACCATCTCTGTCCACCCTCCAAGAGGTACCCCAGGTAGGCTACTTGCTTCTTGCAGATCTGTGCCTTTTTAGCAGATGCCCTGTAGCCCAGTTCACCTAATCTGGTGAGTAGGGCTCGAGTCCCTCTGAGGCATTTTTGCTCAGTCTCTGCGGCCAGCAGGAGGTCATCTACATATTGGAGTAAGATTACCTCTGGATTGGCGGTGCGAAAACTGGCCAGATCCTGGTGTAGGGCCTCATCAAATAGAGTTGGAGAATTCTTGAATCCCTGGGGTAGTCTCGTCCAGGTGAGCTGCCCAGAAACTCCTGAATCAGGATCTTTCCATTCAAAGGCAAACAATGGCTGGCTCTGAGGGCTAAGTCTCAGACAGAAAAAAGCATCTTTTAAATCAAGTACTGAGTACCATACATGGGTCGGAGGCAGGGTACTTAAGAGATTATAAGGATTGGGCACCGTAGGATGAATGTCTAGAGTGCGGCGATTAACTTCCCTTAAGTCTTGGACTGGTCTGTAGTCCCCTGTGCCTGGCTTCTTTACTGGGAGAAGAGGTGTGTTCCAGGGGGAATGGCAGGCCTTTAAGATGCCCAATGTTAAAAGTCTCTGAATGTGGGGCCTGATTCCTTCTCGGGCCTCGCGGCTCATGGGGTATTGTCTTATGGAAACTGGAGTGGCTGATGGTTTTAACTCTATTATCAAAGGAGGTTGATTGCTTGCCAGCCCCATACCTGCGGTTTCCGCCCAGGCCTGGGGGAAATCACGGAGCCATTTGTTATCGATGGGCAGCTCCGGGGGAGGAGGCAGTTCAAACAGTCTGTGTTCGTCCTCCAATCTTAAAGTTAGAATTTGAAGAGCCTGGCCAGTATTGTCAGTAACTGAGGCCCCATTTTCTGAGAAGTGAATTTGTGCCCCAACTTTGGACAGGAGGTCTCTGCCCAGCAATGGGTAGGGGCATTCTGGCACCATGAGGAAGGAATGAGTCACTTGACCAGTGTTTAAATTAACTTTTCTTTCTGTGGTCCATCGGTATATTTTTCCCCCGGTGGCCCCCTGAACCCAAGAGGTTTTTGAACTCAAAGGTCCATTTGCTTGTGTGAGGACCGAATGCTGGGCTCCAGTATCTACCAAAAATGTGGTAGGGTGCCCCCCCACTAGAAGGGTTACCCGGGGCTCAGGGGGGGGCTCTGAGCCCTGACTGTCCTAATCACTGTCTTCCAGGGCTAGGACAGGAACTGGCTTTTTCTTGGGTTCAGCTGGACGTTTTGGGCAGTCCTTGATCCAATGTCCTCTTTCTTTGCAATAGGCACATTGATCTCGGTCCACTCGTGGCCGCCTTTTGTCTCCCCTATCCTTGTCCTGGCGCTTCTTAGGTTGCTCTATACTGCGTACTGTTGTGGCCAAGATCTTACTTAACTCACGACTACGCTTTTTATCTCGTTTGTCCTCTCTCTCTTCCTGTTCCTTGCGCCTTCTTTCTTCCTTTTCCTCTGGTGTCTCTCTTTTGTTAAAAATTCTCTCTGCCTCCTTTACTAAATCTTGGAGGGAGTAACCCTGCAGTCCCTCCATCCTCTGCAGCTTGCTACGAATATCAGGTGCTGACTGGCTTATAAAAGACATTATTATATCAGCCTGGCGATCCGCTGCCATGGGATCAAAAGGGGTGTACATTCTGTACCCCTCCAATAGCCTTTCTAGAAATCCTGCAGGTGTTTCCTCAGGCCCCTGTATTATTGCTCTTACCTTAGCCAAATTAGTGGGCCGTCTGCCAGCCCCTTGGAGACCCGCTAACAGAATCTGACGGTAGAGACGAAGTCGCTCCCTACCAGCTGGAGTATTGAAGTCCCAATTGGGTCGGGTCAAAGGGAAGGCATCCTCTATCTCATTTGGCAACTGGGTTGGCCTTCCGTCAGCTCCCAGGACATTCTTCCGAGCTTCAAGGAAAACACGCTGTTTCTCCTCTGTAGTGAGAAGTATCTGCAAAAGCTGTTGGCAATCATCCCAAGTGGGCTGGTGAGTAATCAGAACAGATTCTATAAGGGCAGTAAGGGCCTGGGGGTCCTGGGAAAAGGAGGGGTTATGAAGTTTCCAGTTATAAAGATCAGAGGCTGAAAAAGGCCAGTATTGAAATTGGTCAGCCATTGAGCGGAGGGGTAGTGCCTGGGAAGTCCACCTTTCCCTTGCAGATGTCCCTCTGCGGAGCCGCAGCCGGCCTGCTGGCTGCGAGTTAGGCCCCCCCTCAGCAGTATCAGTCGTGTCAGGGCTAGGGGGCCTGTCAGGGTCTATATCAGGTTCAGCAGGTTCCCCAGGAACAGGCGCGAGGGGGGCTGCCTCGGCCTGGGGCAGAAGAGGCCGGGGATAAGGAGGAGGAGGGTCAAAAAGCAGGAGGTCTGACTGATTGTCAGAGAGGATTGGTGGTGTCTGGGTCTGGGACTTCTGTTTCGGTCGCTCCTGCATGGGGAAGAGAGAGGACAACGGGTCCAGGGGAGGGGCAGTTGGGGTTGCTGCCGCCCTCGGAGTCAAAGGGGTGGTGGAGGGCCAGGGAGCTGGTACTGGGTTTCCGGCTCCCGCAGGCAGGACAAATGGTTTGACCCAGGGCGGAGGGTCTCTGGACAAGCTCTCCCAAGTTACGATGTAAGGAACTTGATCAGGATGGCCCTGCTGGCCAGGCTGAAAGACTCTTGTCTTAACCTGCAAAATAATATTCAGATTAAATGTTCCGTCCTGTGGCCAGCCCACTCCGAAAGTGGGCCATTCCACGGAACAGAACGCTTGCCAGCGTTTCTTTCGGATTACCATAGACTGGTTGTGAGCTCTGTCCTCAACCTCTTTCCAGTGGTCTAAAGTCAAAGTTAAGGGGGTGGTTATTTGTTGTCCCATTGTACTAGATTCCAACTCAAAAACAAACACAAAGACAAAAACAACAATACAAAATGACAGACACAGACTCAAGACCGAGAGCCGCGCGGCAACAGACTGATGTAAAACTGATATTACAAACCTGGAAGGGAGTGGGCGATAAGAACCACACTCTCTAGAAACTAAGATGACCTGGTCGCTCCTAGTTTCACAAATTGCCTGTGAAGCGTCCTCCACGGCTGGGCCAGGGAGTGTTCCCGGACACGTCTGTCCCACTGCCTGGTCCCTTTCAAATACTAGCCCTGCGCAGGTACAATGTTCCTCCAAATCCCTGATGATCATAAACATAAGGCACAATAACAGAAATAGACGAACATAAAACATTCAGACAAGCGCGCTCTTACCTCCAACCGGGTCAGGAATGGGTCTGAGGGCGACCAGCACTTCCCGGCCAACGCACCAAATGTTGGGCCCTAAAGCCCCACCAAGGAGGAGGTCGCCCCAAGAGACACTCACAGCACGGTTGATGCAATAGCAAGAGGAATTTTTATTCTGCCACGGCAGAGGTCCCTCAGCCTCGAGAGGAGAAGGACCCTGCTTTGTCTATTACAAGCTCTTTTAAAGGAAAAAACCACAAATTCAGGGAGGGGGTAGTACAGAATCAAAGGGAAAGTCCAAAAATCATTTGTCAACTGTTTTGACTAGTTCATACAATGGTCAGCTAACTCTACTTGATCAATGTTATGGCGGTTACAAGGAGGAACACCTGCAGGTCGTCTCACCCCAGTTCCAGGGTCCGGGTCTATTGGAGAAAGACTACAATGGGGATGGAAAGTACTCAAAGCTCCCGTGCACGCGTGGCTGGTTACTAGGGACCTGGTTCCCAGGAAGGGGGGTGCAGTAGTGCTAAGGTGCCTCCTAATGCTAGAGGCCTGGTTCCCAGGATGGGGGGTGCAGTAGTGCTAAGGTGTCTCAAAGTCTTTCAGAATGCCTTCTAGAGCTGTCTTCCATGATATTGATACTGTAATTAATCTTGTTTGTCATCTTGACTATACCAAGAAACACTTAAAAAATGGGTAAAATAAACTTCAGGGTGTGACTATGAGGACACTTTCAGAGAAGATTGACATAATCGGTCAGTAAAGAGCCATTCTGCTGTGGGCAGCTCTATCCAGTAGGCTAGGGGCCTGGGTGAATCACGGGAACAGAAGGGAAGACCTCACATTCAAGCACACTTGGCCCTTCAGCTGCTACTTTTTTGACCTGCAGCCACAGACTTCATGGATGTCCGATTCCAGCATCTTCAACCTCTGAATGCAGACTTGCACTAGCAAATCTCCGCGGTACTTCCAGATCTTCCTCTTCAAGTTAGGATTACGTCATGAGTCCCCCTGGGTCTCTACCTATTCTCACCCCTCCCTTTCAGGTAGTCACTGTGGGACTTGCCAGTCTCTAATCCTATGAATCAATCTAATAAATCCTCTTTCATAATTACATATATTCTGTTGGCTCTATTCATCCAAAAGACCTTTAAAAAGATGGATATTCATCAGTGATAAAGAGACTCTGAATTATCTTATTATAATAGTGGATTCACTGACTTCTTACGGTTTGAACTATGTTTGTTTTGTGTGTTATAAAACTTTGCTTTTAGGTGTGTGCATGCCAAGGATTGTTAGGGGTTCTTGGGTATTTAACCCTTGTATCATTTGACCACATCCTTCATTATCAATGGTAACTTTTATGCTATGTCTCCTCTCTCTGAAATTAATACAATCATGAAAGCTAGATGTTTCAATGTATATATTCATAATCATTGTGGGATATTTACAGATAATAGATAGTTGGGCCTAAGCTTTTGATACACCTGAGCATCATCTATATTTCCAGTAGGATATTTATATTATTGGAGTTTATTTATATCATTAGTATATCATTAGTGATAACACAATTGAGTGAATATCCACCATATTTGATAATGTTTTATCTTCATTGTCCTGGTCCTTTGTTGTTATATTTGTTTTCTATTGTCATTTTGCTTTCTGTTTTTAATTGGACATTTTATATATCATGATGCTTTTTCTGAATTACAATAATAATTTTATGGTTGAAATATTTCATAATTTTGGTCAGATGCCCTAAAGTTTGCATTATTCATCTACATGTAATTTAAATATGTTTTCAAAGTACTACTTCACAGTTATATAAGTATCTTATAACAACAAAATATTTCTAATTCCTCCTTCCTGTCCCTTGTATCATTGCTACAATTCATTCCACATATACATGAGCATATATAATATGTATACTACATGTATGTATAAGACATGGTATGTTTATATAAAGAATGCATTGTTGCTGGGCATGTTGCTCTGTTGATAAAGTATGTGCCTAGCATGCATGAACCAATGCATAAACTAGGGAAGCGAGCACAAAACCATAATTCCATTACTCAGAAAGCAGAAACAAGAGGATCAGGAATTCAAAGTCATCCCCAGTTGTGTAGTAAGTTCAGGGCCAGTGTGGGCTGCATGAGATCTTATCTTTAAAAAATGCATTGTGAATTGCCAAGGTTTAAATAAATATTCCCCAATGATCTGTTTATTAAAAGCTTAGCCACTAGCTATGAGGCTAATGATACTAATGGGAGGTGTTAGAACTTTTAAAAGCAAGGCCTAGTGGGAGAAATTTAGGTAACCGAGGAACTTCTTTGCATGGATCGATCTCTCTCTCTCTCTCTCTCTCTCTCTCTCTCTCTCTCTCTCTCCCTCCCTCCCTCTCTTTCTCTCTCCTCCCTCTCATCACATGAAGATGCCCAGGTTATTCTACTAAAAGATGAGCAGCAATATCAAGCAGACATGAGCCAGTCACCCCAAGCTGACCCTGTACCTAAGTCATGCGAATATGTGAATCAAATAAAAAACAGAACTACTCAGCTTGGTATAGCTCAAATTTCTGGTGTACCTAATTGCACAATATATAAATGATTAATATTAAGCCATTTAATTCTGCAGAAATTTGCTAGATAGGAAGTCACTTGCTGACACCTAGGGCTAAGCATTATAGGAATAGCAGCAGTAGGGACTCACTATACTTCTTTCTCATGTGTATACAGCATCCTGGAACAGAACATCTCCAAAACTCTTGAGTAGCCCTAGTAAAACCTATTCACTGAGCCTTTAAGGGCTCATTTTACTGTTACATTACTGCCAGTGATGGGGAATAGAATCTATGATAAAATGTATGAATCCCGGCGACATACTCATTGTCACGTCTCCTTTGTCACAAAATGGGTCCTTGAATGATAGGAATCATTGAAAGATCAGGCATTTCTAGGCTGGAGGAAGATATTCAATCAAGGACCATAGAACCTACATTTAGGTCAACCCTACTAAGGAAGAAATTCCTCAAATAGTTGTCATGTATGTTGTTTGTGTCCTGGGAGTGGGAAGGGAGACAAGCTACAACCCTCTTGGAAGCATACAAACAATCTCTAGATGTTTTCTCTGAGTCTCCCTTGGGAGTCATCTTCCATGGTATTGTCCCAACAGTTACAACTGGGAAAGCCACAAAGGAGATGAAGTAATTATTGCTGGAGTTTGGGGATTTTGTCGAGATTGGAGCCCCCACAGGGCTCAAAGAAGCTGTGAGCTTTAATGTGGAGAAGTCCTTTGGTCACTGTCATTTACACTACGCCGTTTGTTACCTGCTTAAAACTGTCCCTTCCCTCGACTGTGTACATTCGAAGGAAAGGACAAAGTCTCGCATTTTGTACTTTTCGTTACTGCCAAGTAAGACTTGCAGGTTAGTTCACTGAGGGAATCATGTGAGCGCCTGGTGAGTAAGTGTTGGAAATGAGCATGGGAAGTGAACAGGGGAAGTGAGCAGATCTGAAAAGTCAGAGAGAAAATATGTCATTTCATAAACAGACAAGACAAGTTCGGACTGTAGCTCAGGCCTTGCCTAACCTGTAGTATGTATCTAAAACTATCAGAAGTTTTAGTTAGTTTTCATTTGATCCTGTTTCCCAGTTCTTGGATTTTTCCTAGATAAGATCTTGAAAAGTGAAATTATGATATTCACAGGAAAATAGATGAGCTAGTGGTAACCATGTTCAACAAATTAAGCCAGACTCAGAAATACAAATAAACACTGTAGTTTTTCTCTTAAGTAGAAATTGGACTATGAGGGAAGAGGGATGTTTAAAGGGAGGGGGACAAGAGAAAGTAATGTCATGAAAGCAGAGGGGACATTACTTGTGAGGCCAGCAAGAAAGGGAGAAGAGGAACCGAGCAAGGCAGTGAGGAGGTGAATAAGAACAAAGTATAATGATATATGTATGAAGTGTCACAGAGAAATCCTTTACATAGTAACCAAAAATTTAATTTTAAAAAGCAGACTAGTTTTAGAAAAAAAATGGACAAATCTTTGTTTCAGTTTGAAGGATAATCGTCCAGGAGGGAAGGAAGCGAGACTCACAGCGGGAAGACGACAGGAAGGAAGGCTGATCCGAATCTGATTTCAGCCATCAGGGCAGAGACAGTGAGTCAATTGGACATGCAGCCACAGGTGGTTGGGGCCCATGGGTGATGGGGCCCACAGGTGACCGGAACCCAGAGATGATGGAGTCTGGTTTCAACACTGACTAAACAAGCCCACTTTCTAGCATCTTTCCTGCTCTTTGAAGGTCATCTGTTCTGATAGTATTTCATCTCCACTATACAAATGTCTCCTTAATACAATTGTCTTTGGTGAAAAGCTTTGGTATTAACATGTGGTTTTCTACAACTCCAAGAAATACAGTAACTAAGTAGTACTATGAAGATACTTGGTGTACACGAGCCCCTTGTTTGACCTTATAGTTAAAATATCACAAAATATTTAAAGGATATCTTTACACTCATGTTCACCATTAGCTTTATCTATGCCCACTGTACAGCCACAAGTGTTATATAACTTTTAGACTAATTTGAATTTCTTATGTTTGTGGTTCAAGCAAATTGTCTTTGGAGGCTTAACTTCGCACATTTGTTGAAAAAATAAATTTATTTTTACTTTGACTTTTAAGGATATAAGCTGCTTTAAACCTCATCTTACATATTCTAAATGAACGGTATCTGGCTGTTTCTCATGGTGGTGGACAAATATCTTGGGAAGAGAATCTCACTCAAATATCAGTGTTGGCCAAAGAGCCATTAATCATGTCAGACAGATGGATGTATTTCAACACAGCAGATAGTCTGGCAGCCACACACAGTCCTGAATATATAAAAGGAGTTTAGGGGAAGAAATGGTTGTAAAACATAAAAAGAGCACTATATAAAATAATAGAAATGGGTTAATTTAAGATAAGAGGGAGGCGGGGAGGAGGCAGAAATTTTTAATTAAAAAAAGAAAAATTTAAGATATAAGAGTTAGCCAGAAATACACTTGAGCTATTGGCCAAAAAATATTGCAAATAACATAGTTTCTGTGTGTTTGTTATGGGACTGGGAGAAACAGAAACCTCCACCAACAGGGCACAATTTAATATTTACAGGGGGAGGGGAAGAGAAGTGAGATAGGGTAATACAATGATTATAAGCAAACAAGGGATGAACAGAAAGTCATAATGAATCATCTTACTTCATGCAATTAATACACACTAGTGAAAAAATGAGCAGTAAAAGAATCTCTGCCTCCTGAACAGAGAGAGATGAAGGCTGCATAGAGCTCCCTGATGATGTGAGCTTAAAACAAAAGAAGACAGGCATGAAGACAGCAGACGAGATGGAGAGGCACAGTTGGGGTTCACTGAAGTTTGGCAGAGAACATCAGAGAAGAGACGGGGTGGCCTAAAAGATCATTTGGTAAATGAGACTAAGACCAGGTAGATATTTACAGAAAAAATACCAAGAGGAGACGTGTTTTACCAAGCAAAACTTTATTTCTCTCTACAGCTCTCCATACAAGTTCATCCAATGGAAACGGAAAACCAAACCAGCA